TCCTCAGAAGCTGTACGTGAGCTTTTTCCAGGCCCGCTCCTCCGGGCACCGTGCGCCCTCCGGGGCGGTGTCCTGCGGTCCCCGAGCAGCGCCGGTGTAATCGGCCTCCCCGGTCGCCCTCCCCAGAGGCTGGCTTCGTGTTGGCTTGTTGGTTCGGAGGAGCGCGCTGGGCCGGGAAGCGCAGTGCGCGGAGGTGGGGTCGTGTGAGCTTGAGGCTGCTGAAAGCGTCCCCTTTGGCGTCCGACTTCGTGAAGGTGGGCCTGTTTGCACGATCGAAGGGCGAGGAGGGGTTGTGACCCCGGAGGAGCACGCGGGCACGTTTATGCGGCTGCAGGTGATCCGAATGCAGGCGCCGGCCTGCGCTCGATTCTGAGGCCGGGGGAGTCGGCGTGGGCGCGGGAGCAGCAGTTCCGGGTGACTACGGAGCGCGTGCTGAGCGGCTGCTGACGCGGTCCGCAAGGCTCCGGTCAGAGGTTGGCGGTCAGTCACTAAGTTTGGCGGAGGCAGACGTTGCGCGGTGGGCGCCCCTGTCGCAGTGCTGTGGGAGGTCAGCTGGCGTTCCGGCAGTTAGTGGAAACCGCGTGATGACCTGGGGTGGCCTCGGGGCAGACCTAGCAACCTGGCACAGTCGTTCTGGGGCGGACGCAGGCTGACGTCTTCTGTGGGAATAACACCAGGTGGGTGTGTAACTCACCAGCCGCCGGCCAGTTTACCTTGACGACTGTTCAGGGCTCGTTCTGGGTTATGGGTTCAGTTTGGGATTAGCCGTATTCGCGCCTCGGATGAAGCTCATGGGCGACGATCCCGCCACTGTGCAAAGCTTGGGTTCAGTTTTCTTTTGTGCCAGAAAGTGTACCTGACCAGAGTGCGCATTTCTCATCCCCACAGCCAACTGACTGTCCGGTAGATAGAGATTTCTATCCGTCCAGAAATTTGGTTCGTGCTTGTTGATGGCTGTATAATTTACTGCTACTGGAAATGGTAAAATGCGTCTGGGAATTGTGATTTGTAAAGAACTTTTTAGTGCTGTTAAGAGGGGTGCAGACTTGTCTTTTAGAATTTTACAAAGCTACAATTGTATATATTCTTGATGTTTTTGACATTGAAGAGTATTACATATCTTCCTAAAAAGAAACTTAATAAAGTTTTGGATATAGGTCATTCGGATAGAAGTCAGTAACTTACTGGAAAACTCAAAGTCTTTGTGCAAGGTTGCCAGGTACACATACATACGTGAGACTTGGGTTTGTTCTTTTGCTTTTTAATTTGAACAGAGCAACTTGTAGAGTATGCAAGGACTCATCTACTACAGATCTAGAATGTTGAGTAATGGGAAACCCAAATTAACAAATTATTTTTCCTCTTATACAGAAGTCTCGGTGGGTCTGGGATGTACGTTTTACAGTCAGGGTTCAGCCTCAGTTTAGGCTTCTGTGGTCTTAGATGGCTTCTCTGGCTCCCTGATCACATTAGCGGCTTCATAACCCATCAGGAAAGACTGAGAAAAAGAGTTGGGTATGTCTTTCCTTTTGAAGACAGTTTTATAAGTCGTGTATTTTTTGCTTATATACTGTTTGCCAGGATTTAAGTCACCAGAGGTTAGCTGTAGGGGAGGCCGGGATGTTTTGGATAGCTGTGAGCCCGACTTGGATTTCGGGATTCTATTCCTGAAGAACATTGAAACAGCAAGCAGTCTCTTAGAGAAGAAAAGGCAAATCCTAAACAAAGTACTTTCTGCTTTTGGACTGTTTTGAACATTAGGCCATAAAAAATCAGAATTAGAGGTAGTAGTCAGTCCTCAAGATTGATGCCAACAGTAATGTAACAAGGGTTGCTTTAAAGATTTTTATTTTGAACTCAAATGTCACACGTCCTAAAAATGCATCTCTGAAGTGACCATATTTGTAGGAAAGGTGTATTTGCTAACACTTGGCTATATCTTTTTAACAGGCATGTCATGTTACCCAGAGAACTTTCCAAACAAGTCCCGAAAACCCATCTGATGTCGGAAGAGGAGTGGAGGAGACTTGGCGTCCAACAGAGTCTGGGCTGGGTTCACTACATGATTCATGAGCCAGGTAGGGGGTGCCATTTCGGAAAGCATCCACCGAAACCAAAGAAGTAGTGGTTGTGGTTGTTGAAAATTAAGTAATACTGACATTCAGTGCTATTCCCAAAGCAACCCTGGTAAGTTTGACACTTCTTGAATAGCTGATTCCTTTCTTCCCTAGGAAGAATTTACATTTTCTAGTAAATAATACCACATGAGTGAATGGAATGCATTATTCTACCTGCAGAGAGGAGTTAAAAAAAAAGTCAATTCTTTTACTTTAAAATGTGCCATTAATAAAGTATTTTACTGTAAGTATAAGTAATTCTGGTGACCCATCTCTTTAAAAACTAAGGACTTACTTTAAGACACTTTTAAGTGTCCCTAAGTTCTTTGCGTAGAAGTTAACGCAATTTGGAGTGATTTGTTTTTTCCTTTAGTATTCTATTAAAGGATGATTGGGATCTGCCACACCAAGGCGAGATAAGGTAACCTAGTGAGTGAACCTTGCTATGCGTTTACGAGTGTTTTATTGTGTGGATTTTACCAGAGTTTCCCGGATATGAAATGTTAAACTAAAGCTCACAGGGTTCAATTCTGCTTTTGTGGTATCCTTAAATAAATCTAACTTAAACAATTATAATGCTTTGAGCAAATTTTGAGGGCATGATATAGAAACCGAATTAGGTGGAACAGAGCTTGTTTTCTGCTCTTAAAGAAAAGCAGCAATAGCATCAGAAAGTGACTTAAAACTTTTTTGGGATTGGGGGCATCTAATTGTACTGGAGTTCAAAACTCTGGAACCCAGGGCTCCCACCCAATGAAACAGATCCCAGGAGCCGGCCCCTGGGATCTGTGGTTTTTGAATTTGGTGTTAGGGGTCTTTCCTTTTCACCGGAATTGAGATCCTAAAGGTAGAAACTGTTCTCCTCAAAGTGGCTTTCTCCACTTGACATCTCTTTTTCCAGGGTAGGTAAAACACTGTGGGGAATGTTCTTCTCCATCAGGTGGTTTTCTAATGTTTATAGTTGACAGTGACTTTTTTTTTTTTTTTTTAAGATTCTGTTTATTTATTTGACAGATCACAAGTAGGCAGAGAGGCAGGCGGGTGCCGGGGGGGGGGGGAAAGGGGCCCCGCTGGGGAAAAACCCCCCCCCCCCCCACCCCCACCCCAGTGAACTCTGGGATCATGACCTGAGCTGAAGGCAGAGGCTTTAACCCACTGAGCCACTCAGGGGCCCCGACAGTGACTTTTGAAGCAAAGTTTATTTCAGATATTTTGATAAGTGACAGTTGTTCATAGATTTATTTTGGTTTGAGAATTTCAAATTTTGGTTGAATGAATGAAAATTAACCATATTTTAAAATTATATATTTTGTTTTCACAGAACCACATATTCTTCTCTTTAGACGACCTCTTCCAAAAGAGCAACAAAAATGAAGTCTACCTGGGGATTGTCAATTAAGTCTTTCTCAAATTTAATGTATATGTGTATATAAGGGTAGTATTCAGTGAATACTTGAAAAATGTACAAATTGTTGATCCATACCTGTGCATGAGCTGTATTCTTCACAGCAACAGAGCTCAGTTAAATGCAATGGCAAGTAGGTTACTATAAGGTGTTTAAGATAAAATTTCTAGTCGGTTTTTCTCTTTAATATAAATGCCTGTTTGACTTTACCTGTTACTTTTGTTAAATAAAGTTTGTATGTTGCATTTATCATTGAAGTTACTGGGGTTTATTTTCTAAGGATGACTTGTGTCTATCAAGGATAGATGATTTCAGCTCTACAGTTTTGGTCTGGAGGAAATAAATTTAAAGAAATGGGATTAAATGGGTTTAAGATAGCTGTGGTTTGGGGAAGGTGTGACTTAATTCACTTTCGAAGAAACAGCTTATAGAGACAGAGTTCATAGCTCTATTGCTAGTTTAGTGTCTGGAGAATTGTGCAGTTCTAAGGACTGCCACATCTGGTGGCCTTGAGGGAAACCACTTATCCTTGCTTCTGTTTCACTGCATGTGCCAAGTAGTGGTAGTGTTTCCTATAAAATAGCAGAGCATTTTAAAATGTAAAACACCATTCCCTACGGAGTTGGTGTCTGTTTGTAAATTGTCTTTTTAGCTGCTACAGAAATATTCCTGAGCTAATTTGCTGTGCTGGGGAACACTTTGAAATGGAAGCCCCCGAGCTCGGTGGTCCTCCATATGCTCCTCTCCCGAGAAAGGGGCGTCTTTATACAGGAACGGGACCGGAAACGCTACAGGTGGTGCTGCGTAGCCGCCCAGATCCTACTTGTGCCCCCAGGGACCCATCCTGTAGCCAGCCCAGGAGACTCAGGGATTGCCAAGTAAAGGGAGCAGTGACCCCGCGGCAGCCCCCCGCAAGGGTAACTGCAGCACACCAGGCCTATGCGGGCGCGTTCAGGCGTGTTTCCTGCGCCTGCGGGTTGCCCGGGAGACCACCTGGGCGGGGCGGGGCAACTGGGCGGTGCCCGCATTAGCCGCTGTGAGTAGTACCTGGTAGTGAATGAACCCAGGCTCCCCTGCAGGGCAGCTCCAGATTGCCAGCCCCGGTACCCTCACCTAGCTCCCAGGCCCCACCCGCTCCCGCGCGGACCCGCCCCTGCCCAGCCCCCGCCGGGCTGTTCCCAATACTTGAAAGGACTGAGCAGTCTGGGAATTCTCGTCCTTGCTCACTGCCCAGTGCTCCAGCCCCTGGCGCTTCACTGCGCCAAGTCCTCCCGGCCTCCTGGGCCTGGAGTCCACGTCCTCCGCTTCGGGTGCCCCCGGCCAGGCAGCGTCCCGGGGATGACCAACGTCTTTTCCTGAGGGCAGCTGCCGCCATGCGGGACCAGGGCCGCTCGCGCGCCCACTTCCGGTGGGAGGCAGGGGCCGGGGGGCGGGCCTGGGTGCGTTTCTGTGACGCACTTCCTGGCGTCTGCTCGGAAGGCGGAAAAGCGGGGAGTCCGAGCGCCGCGCGTCCGTGCCGCCGGCGGACGGGGCGGCTGCTGGCCTCCGGGGCCGGGCCTCCTCCGAGCTGCGCGCCATGGCGTCGGAGGGGCCTCGGGAGCCCGTGGGCGAGGTGAGGACGGCGCCCCGGAGTGGGGGGCGAGCGTCGGGGCGGGCGCGGGCGGGGGACAGCGCGGGGCGTCCGGGCGGCCGCGGTTAGCCGGGGAGGACCGGGCGCCCGGGAGTGCGCCCCCGCGCAGGGTCGCCGCGCTCGCGCCGGGGAGCTCCCGCAAACGGTGGCTGGAGCGCGGGCGTCCGCTCGGCCTGCTCGGCCGCACCGCTAGATGGAGCCCTGGCGGCCGCCGCGACCCGCGCTCGGACGGATTGGAAGGCGCCGAAGTCAGTCTCGCGGGGCGGCCGCGGACGCGGGAAGAGCCGCTGCTACGGTCACATCCCAGGGCTTGGTGACAGCACAGTGTCCTTCTGGCAGGGCTGGCTTTGGCTCTTCAACAGAACAACTCTTGGCGGTTCGCTGAGGGACAGGAAAGGGTTTATATAACTTTTCTTTGAGAAATTCGATGGAATAAAGCTCCGCACTGCGTTTGAGTGTTCGAGGCCGCCATGCAGCGGCCGGGCTTGCCCTCGGCGGTTCTCGGTTCTCTGTGACCGCGGCGGAGACGGCGGCACACCCGCACGCAGGTCGAGGTTGTCCCAACTCCGTCAGCTGGCTTGGATTTTATTTCCACTTTCCCCGCTGGCTCTCCCCCGCCCCCACCCCGTCTTTAATATTTAGTGGACCGCTTCTTTTACTAAGAAAGGACTGGGGGAGAGGTTGTTAGCCGCCAGATTCCTGCTTTTATGAGGCCGAAGTATTTGAACAATAGACACTCCTGGGACAGGCATTTCTGGGGCTGCTAGAACCCAGCGACTTTCCGTGGGTTTTTTGTTCACATTTGCTTTACATCCAAATGTTTGGAGTCAAACCCCTCCCCCCACCCCCCGTTTTTTCCTCAGGGCATCAAGTTGTCAGCAGATGTGAAACCGTTTGTCCCCAAATTTGCTGGGCTCAGCGTGGCATGGTCAGAGCCTTCCGAAGCTCGTGTGTTCCCTGGCTGTGCGGCCGCCTACTACCCGTGTGTTCAGGAGCTCCCGGTGCCTGAGTACGTATCCTTCATGTCTTGCCCTCCCCCGGGGGACTGAGGGGATTCCACTTTGAAGTCGCTGCAGCTGACATGGCCAGTGTTCTCAGTACGAGGCTGCTTCTCAGTCAGGAAGGGCCTGAGGCAGTGGCACAACTTAACTGCATCCTACCCCAAAAACAGAAACCTCAGCTCTCCATACTCACGGTTATTTTGGGCAAAGGAAGTGTGGAGGTTGCCTTGCATTCCCTAGTAGGAAATGCAGTTTTCAGGGTTCATTTGTGCATGGGGTCTGAACTGTATCACGTGTCCAAGGAGAGATGAGATGGCTGGGGGTGCAGAGAGGACAGGGGGCAAAGGCAGGCCCAGAGAAATCAGTGTGCGCTGTGGGTGTAGGTTGTAACACTGTGAAATCTTGCTTGGGGCTGGAGCGCGCTCGCAACCGTGGCTGCTCTTTTTGTGGGGTAGTTCTTTGGGAATTGCTGAGTTTTGCTTTCTACCACTTTTCTTTATAAATGTCCTGGGCAATGTCTAGAAGCTTGGGTTATAAAATTCTAAATCTGTATTGAAAGAAGGCTTACGTTGGTTTGGCAATTTTCCTTTTTCTTCTCAAGTTTCATTCTCTAGGTATTTATACAGTGGTTCCCATTAATAGCTGAATTTAGAAACCCGTGCCTTAAACCCTGCATGTAATTGTGTAGACTACCTGACTTTTTAACGGTCTGCATCACCTTTGTGCTTATGTAAGAGTCCTTGTCTGTATGTCCCTTCGCTGTGGGTCGTACTTGTTTCTTTTCCGTGCCTGCGTAGAGTCGGTTGTACACTTCATACAAATTCTAGGCTTGTGTTCACAAGGACAAAGCTTGGAATGAATAAGAAACCATTGAGTTGTTTGCTATATAGAGGTTGTATCTTTTGACCAAGTTGAAATTCTGCCTCTCTGCTTTGCTAGGAACACTCAGGTTTTCCACGGTGATTTCATCCTTCGTTAGAGGAAGGTTGGCATGGGTCTCATTCGAGCTGTTGCCTACCTTGGGTGGTTCACAAAGTAAAGTATAAAATATATTTCATTCAGTGACAAGGATTTGAAGCCACTTGTTTCGGGTGGGACTCCAGTTAGCCTAAGTAAAGGTGGGAAACATTCCTGCAGCTCACGTAATGTTCTGGAAGTAGCATGAATTGAGAAGAATCAGAAGCTTAAGGGTGTGCACTGTTGAATTTGAAAACTAGGTTTTGTTTTTTAAAGATTTTGTTTATTTATTTGACAGGGAGAGCATGAGAGCAGAGAAGGTCAGAGAGAGAAGCAGACTCCCTGCTGAGCAGGGAGCCCGATGCGGGACTCCGGGGTCATGACCCGAGCCGAAGGCAGTCACTTAACCAACTGAGCCACCCAGGCACCCTAAGAATTAGGTTTTTTAAACTCTTATCTTTTTTTAGGTTTAATTATTTTTCTTTTAATTACATATAACCAAGGAAAAGATTGGCTGACAGTATTCCTGCCTGATGAGAAAACAATTAAGGACAAAAGAGGTGTGAAAGCAGAGGGGCAGGGTTAGGAAGGAGAGGAGCCTTTGAAGGGGACAGAATGGGGATATTTTACGCATCTGAGAACCTATGACCTCGTGCATTCTGATGGAGGCTGAGATGTCTGCCCGAGCCGGGTTTCCTGTGAATGGGGCTCTCCCCTGCGCGGAAAGAGCCGAGTGCGTTTTTCCGTAGGGAGCAACGTTGTCTTTCCTGCCTTTCCCGTGCCTGTGCCAGTCCACAAGGTGGGCAGGTGGTGTCGTGTTATTTTTACACCTGAGAATCTGGGGCCAGAAGTGTGTGTTCAGTCATTCAGGTAGGCGGTGCCCGAAGCAGAATGACCGTCTGTGCCTCGGGCCTGTACTCCTCGAGCTCCCCAGAGCTGCCGCTGCCACGGGGACGAGTGTTTGCTGGGCACTTCAGCTGTTGCGATCCGTGGCGGACTCTGGGCACTGCTGAGGGAGTCTCGGCTGTGCCAACTAGTAGTCCTGGACGGAGTGTGGCTGGAGGAGCTGCTGGCGCCTGAGCACTGCGCGACGGCGGGGGCGACTGGAGGGCGCAGGAGCAGGCGCTGTGCTGGGAGCAGCCCCCGGTATGGCTGCAGGGAGCAGGCGTGCTGGGCCGGAGGTGGGGCATGGCTGGCCGTGTCTTACGCACTTTCGGGGCGCTCACTCCTGGATTCTTTCCGCTTGAAGGGAGAGGGGCTTGAAGCCTCGGGCTGGGTTCCAGGCACTGAAGCTAGGGAAGAAATACACGGAGCCCCGTGGCCTGGGCAAGGCCTCCGGGGGGCCCGGGTGGTGTCGGCGGGAGAGAGGCTGTGGCAGTTGCTGGCTGAGTACCTGCAGGGTCAGGGGTGGGAAGAGGGGCCATTCGGGGTCCAGCAGCACAGCCTGGACTCCGGTGCCCGTTAGGGGACAGGGAACTGTTGGGTGGGAGCCACCTGGGGCTGAGTGAGGCCTGGGGCTGGCCAAGGTGTGCGACTGCGAGTCCGTATGTGAAGTCGGAGCTGGCCGAGGAGGGGTCTGGGCTCAGTGTGACTGGAGAGGAAGGGGGCGTGGGGGAGGGTCCTCCAGGCGGAGCCTTTGGAAGGGGGGATGGGCTTGCGAGTCCAGGCTGGCGGGATTTTCAGGGGGTGTGACAGAAGGGCCAGTCCCGCAGATGCTGTGGTGAGGAGGCGGCGGGGCTTGCAGGGAGGATGTCCTAGAGACCCGGGAGCAGTTGGGAGGGGTGGGGCGGGGGGGGGGGTTGTGTCAGCAGTTGTTGTGGGTGTGGGGAAGGCAGGACGGAGTTGCTGCAGGAGAAGCTGCTCTTGTAAAGGGAGGCGTGGGCCGGCGGGAGGGCGGGCGGGTGTGCGTTGGTGCTGGGGGCCGGCTGCGCAGTTTGTGGCAACTGGAATTTTACACACAGGCTGCTGCGAGCCCCGGTGGGTGCTGGGAGTTGTTGCCGTGAGATTTTACTGGGTGTCGTGCTCTGCATATAACTGTTTTGGCCTTGTTTGGAAAGCAAAAAACCAACTTCCCAGAGGAAGAGACACCAGTGAGCACTTGTCCAAAGTCGAAGACTAGATTTTGAATCGAGCCAGGACACACGCCCAGGGCTTTGGGGTCGCGGACGTAGGGTCGCTGGAGGACGCAGCCTTCACAGCCGCTGGACCCTGCCTCCCTTTCCTGCTTGAGCTAAACTTCATCGGTCTGTTCGTGTATCTGGCGTCTGGAGTTGGAATAGCATCTTTTTTGCCGTGTTTTGCTCTCAGCCCCTCTTTGCCCACCTGCCCTCATGAGGAAGAGATCCCCCCTCCACCCCCCGCACCCCCCTCACCCCCGCCCTTAGATCTTCTGAGCTTCAGATAGTCAAACAGGAACTCGCATCTGGGAGCAGGACGATGCTTTAAATCGTTTTCTTTTCTGCAAAGAGCAGCGCTAGGGCAGGTGTGCTGAGAAAGGTGCAGTGTACCGGGTTTTTCTTGGGTTTTCGTTAGGAAGAGTTCATTACTGGAGTTCGTAAACGGTCTTCCTGGGTGTGAACTTCCTGTAAAGCGTCGCGGGTTCAGAGGCGTGACAGCAGGCCGTCCAGTTGGGCACTGCATGCAAGTGGATGCAGGGAACCTTCTGGCAAGTGTGTCTCAGGGGTGGGTGGTGACTCCTTCCCTGCAGTGCAGGCTGGGCCCTTCCTTGCCCCAGAGCAGGATGGTGACTGCGCTGGAGGGGGCTGCCTGTGTGTGCGCCTGCCGGCGGCCCAGCTGGGAGAGGGTCGCCCTGGTGCCTCGTCAGCATCTCTGGTTTTCCTGCCTTTCTGTGGGCCAGCGCGCTTTGGGATTCTGTTGATTTTCTACAGGAAGATTTTCAGCTCTGGGAAGTCCCAGAAACATTGGCTGGTGCTCATCTGTGGGACGGGGAACAGTGTGCTTTGTGTCTCCGCTCATCTGCTCCGTGTTTGGCCATTGTATCGTCTCTCGTTGCTGGAGGATTGAAGCCTCTGGCTGGATACCAGATTTGCTCACAAAATCAGTGTTAAATTATGTTTTGGCCTCGCCTAGCAGTTTGAGCAAACGGGGGCACAGTGGTGTGCACAGACGGCGCCCATCTGGCCGGCGCGCTGCAGCTCCAGGGCTAACGGGCGCAGTGTCCCCTTCGCAGCTCTGGCCCTGCGAGGCCGGAAAGCACAGGATGGGTTGGTCGGGCTGGAGGTTGGATGGGGGCGGCGGGGGCTCTGTGAAAGCCCCCTGTGCAGGGAGAGTGGTCTGGGTGGCCCTCTGGGCCCCCGGTGGCTGCCGGAGGCTTTTGCAGATGTTTGTCAGTGTGGCGGTGCGGAGCTGCGGAGGCGTCCCTGGGCTTCGCTGCTGCCTGTCGTGCCGCCGTCGAGCTGAGGGCGTCAGCCCAGCAGTGAGCACGCGGCGCCGGTGAGGAGGCCGGAGCCTCTGTTCACTCTTCGAGGCATCTCCGTGCCAGAGCGAGCGACCTCAGAAGCACTTGAGGGTTTAACGGTGCTTCTTACGGAAGAGCTCCTTGATCTGTGATTGAAACCCTCACCTCCAACCTACCTCCTTGTTTAGGCAGAAGCTGTATCCTGAAGATGGGGCCTTTGGAGCTTCCACTTTTCCTCCTCAGTATCTGTCTTCGGAGCTCGCTCTTCATCTGGGCAGCCTCTCTCCCTGCCCCACCGAGTGTTCACAGAGCGTCTGCCCGGTGCCCGGCTCACCCTATGCTTACGGCCACCCTGGCGCCTACCGAGCTTTCCAGACCATGAAGCCGCGAGCCGAGCAGATGTACCCTCTCCCACAAGACCCGAGAGCCCCGTTCAAGGTCAGCTCACCGCCCTGGTGGGGGCACCGTAGAGTTTAAGGTGGAAAGAGCTGGTTGGCTCTCACGTGGTATTTAAGTATGTTTATCTTTTTTGTATATTTAAGAACTGATTTTTGTTTATCCGGTTTTGAAATGGTTGTTGTGGATACTTAATAGGGATTTCCTGCTTTAAGCCTTTTCTCATGGTGCTGGTTTGCTTAATTCATGGGGCTTTTTAATTCTCCCCGCAGAAAAAAACGTTTGAGGAGCAAAAGTTTGACAGCAAGAAGGCGGACGGCTCTCTGTCATCTGATACAAAATCAGTTAGAGGTTCACATCCTGTGTCCATTCACGCGGATGCGACCTTGAAACCAGGTGAAAACGACATACTGTCTGATGTTCTGTTGTCCTTCCCCGCCCGCCCCAGAAGTGTCACTGTTCTTTGTACACCTGTTTCTGAGGAGACCGTTGGACTCTGGTCGATCCTGGAGGCCTCTCCGCCCAGGGAAGGGCCTCTCGGGGGGGGGGGGGGGAGTGCTCTGTGGTGTGCCCTAGCGTGGTAGGACCTGGCCCAAAGCCACATGGCAAGTAAGTGGCACCCACAGGCCTCAAGACATGTCCTTAAGTAAAACATAGGCGCATCCCTTGGACTATATTTGACTGTATTCTTTCCTGAAGTAGCTTCTCTGGTGTTCTGTTGGGACGCTTTTTTTTTTTTTTTTAAAGATTTTATTTATTTATTTGACAGACAGGGATCACAAGTAGGCAGAGAGGCAGGCAGAGAGAGAGGGGGGAGCAGGCTCCCCACGGAGCAGAGAGCGCAGTGTGGGGCTTGATCCCAGGACCCTGAGACCATGACCTGAGCCGAAGGCAGAGGCTTTAACCCACTGAGCCACCCAGGCGCCCCCGTTGGGACACTTTTTAACAGGTGAGAGAGTTTGTATTTTGAATCCCATCCTGAGCAGCAGCCAGCCTGGGGCAGTGTAGTTACTCAGGGACATGTCTGCTCCGGCCTTGGAAACTGCTGTTCCAGGCTGTGGCTGAAAGCTAGCGGCTGCAGGGTGGCAGGTATGGACTAGTGCCGTTTGATGGCTTATTTATGAATAAATAAATCTTATTTATGCAGAGAGCTACAACTTCTGTAATAGTGTAGTTACTAGGAATGGCCATTTTATTTACATGTATAACTTACATTACTTGGTATATAAGTTTTTCTCTTTGTGTTGACTTCACTCAGAAACCATTTGGCACAGGGCAGTTTGCAAGGAAAGTTGTACAGTTAACCGTAGTGACTGGCTTCATGGCCTTACAGCCCACATCAGGATTCCAAGTTTACTTCTGCCTGCTTGCTTCCAAAGTTCCTCTCACGTGCGGGAGAGGTATCACTGAGAAGAAACTCGTTGGCGTCGCTGTAAGTCTGCAGAACTCTGCAGCGTGTGTGGAGGGTAGTTAGATCAGGCTGCAGTAACTGGTTCGCGAGCTGCAGAATTCCGCCTCAGAGCTGCAGTGCGCTTTGCTTTCTCCTGCCTGCGGGCCCGACCCCAGCCGCTGGCGCTTCCGGCCCACGCTGCTTCCCGTCGCTCCGCAGGTGGCGTCGCTGGCAGATGGCGGAGGGCCTCGGACAGGCCCGTGTGGGTGCGTCGGCAGCGAGAGACGTCCCACCCTGTGGCTGAGGTGTGCGTACAGGTCTTCACACCACACCTAATTGTCACCCCTTTTGATTCTGTTCATACAGACAGTCACCGGAAACGAACAGACAGGAAATCCAGAATCGTTGAGAAAAGTGTGTCTGCCTCCAAACCCGGGTTTGAGTTTACCAGGTTGGACTTTCCTGAACTGCAGGGTGCAGAGACCAGTGAGATCGCAGAGACACAGAAGCAGCCCAAGTGGGGCCCTCTGTGCCCCGCCTCAGCCGACCTTTCTCTTCTCCGAGAGGTGGTGAGGCCTGCCGAGGTGAGTGCGGGGCCCCCGCTCTGTTTCCCTCCTCGCCTTCTCTCCTTTCCTTCCTTCTCCCCACGCACCTTTGCAGGTGCCTCTCCATCTTGCCGTGGGGGCCTGGCCGTGCACACAGAGGACCGTCTGCTTGGACTCTTTCCAGCCTGGTGTGGGCCCTAGTACAGCTGATTCTAAAAGAATCGTCGAATGCGCCTCCTGGTGCTTGCTCGCTGCGGGGGGCAGGGGGCGGGCTCCGGCACGGTCCGCTGCATAGACGGCCCCCGGTGGTCCCCTCACTCCCAGCAGTGCATTCCGACAGCACGTTTGCAGTAGAGACAAACGGATTCTTTCAGTCCGGCAGTAGTATGTCAGACTGCGCAGGGTAGCCTCCGATTTTTCCAGGCTTTCTCTCCGTACCGCTCTCATTGACGCCATCACAAGCTCAGCAGAAGCATAATCACTGTGTGTTTTGTTTGCCATTTAATGATTTTTAAAATACGCCGTGCTCCGCATTTGGTCTTGGAGTTTCAGTCCATCCAGCTTCTAGGAAAAAGCATCCTGAGGTTAGTAGTCCCTAAGGTGGCTTCTCACCAGTTTCTGCCAAGAGAGGGTGGGAGGGCGAGGAGGAGGACACGTGGAAGGAGCCCCACGGCCACCTAGCGGTGGAATGGTGGGGGCTCTGCTTCTTCAAATGCGCTTGGGTGCCGGGCCACTGACACCCAGCGGCGGGCAGGGTGGCTTGCCATGTGCAGAAGGTACCGCATCCTGCACGCATTGACTATGATGCTGTGCGCCGCGGCGCGTGTCTCTGTGGCTTAGCCGTGACGAGGGAGGCAGGCCGGCCGGCCGGGCTAGAGGACTCTGGTTTGGCAGCTGTGTGACCCCTTTGGTCCTGCTGCGTGTGTGGAGTAGCTGAGGCTCGAGGGGCTGCCCGTCTGCATCCCTGGTGGTCAGTGCGTAACCCAAGCCTGTGAGCCTGTGGGGAAGTAGGACAGGCCGGCAGGGAGCTGTTGTATCATGGTCACCGGCCACACACGTGTCCGGACACGAAGTGAGGCACGTGGCACCGGGAGGAGGGGTCCGTCTGGACTCCTTGCCTGAGGATGCGTTCACACTCTTGAGTTATACGGGGACTTCTAACTTCTTCTTGTAGAACAGACTTTTCTCACTATTTAAGGGGTATCTTTGACCATGAGAAATTTTTAAAACAGCTGACCCTGAACAGCAGGGGTTTGAGCTGCATTAGACATGTGTGTTTTTGATAAACACAGGATAGTATGTAAACGTTTTCTCTTCCTCGTGACTCTTAGTGATTTTCTCTTTCGCTTACTGTACTGTTAGGATACAGGATGTGTGCGCTGTGGTGTTAACTCTTTATGTGGTCGGTCGGGGTTCTGGTCAGTAGTAGGCTGTTAGTCATTTTGGGGGGTCAGAAGTTCCATGTGGAGTTTCGACTCTCCAGGGGTCAGCACCCCAACCCCCATGTTGCTCAAGGGTCACCTCTAACTGTGTGAAGTTGTTCAAGAGAAAACCATGTTAATCACCTAAATCTTTTTTTAATGGTGCAATGTGGGGCCTGAGGGGATCCCCTCAGTTTGAAGATAGGCACATGTAGGACTTTGTGTTTGAGTTTTTAAGACTTTTGGCATTTTTCCATGTCATTAAGTAGTTTCTGAAAACCTGTAGCACTGACCCTTGATGGATGTGTGTAATTTCTGTAACGCTCTCGGACAGGTGAGCCATGGTGAGCAGGTAAGTTGTATTCAGAGAACGGGCTGTTTCAGTAATTTTACTTCTTGTTACTGGGCTCCGATTTAATGAATCGGACAAGTGGGAAAAGTTTGGAAGGCTCTGAGCTTTAGAATTGAAGCCCGTTCAGATCTGAATGGATCACTTTCCTTTTGCCCTGAGTGCTGTGCTCACCCCGAGCTCACCCCGACGTCTGTCTTCGTGTGCTCACCCGCCCGTGTGTCATTTGCTGCCTCATGTCCTTGTACATTTGTTGTCTCTGTGGACCTTCTCAGGGATTTTTTGGGACTTCGGTGCATGGCCATGGTGCACGGTGCCCCCCCGCCGCCAACCCCAGGCAGGGGCCCTGTGGCCTCACATGGTGGAGGCACACTTGTGCTGATGCAGAACTTGTCTGTTATGTAGTTTAGGAAGTTGTGTGGTGCGCGTGCTCTGATCCCCTCCGTGGGGCCTGTTCTCCCACTGGCAGGGAAGTAGGGCGACACTGCGGGCTCAGCTGAACACTGTGGGTGGTTTCTCCTACAAGGAGTGAAATTTGATGTTACATATGTTTTTACTTTTTTGGGATCTTTTTTTTTTTTTTTTAGAGCTTGAGAGCTGGGAGGGGGCGTGATGGGACGGGCAGAAGGAGAGGGAGAGAGGGAATCCTAAGTAGGCCCCACACCCAATGCCGTGCCCGACGTGGGGCTCAGTCTGACATCCCTGAGATCATGACTTGAGCTGAAACCAGGAGTCGGAGGCTCAACAGACTGTGTCACCCAGGCAACCTGGAATTTTTAATTAGCATTTATTTTGGAGATTTTACAAGTGGCAGGGGAAGCTGTATTTAAAAATTAAGTGATTACTTTCAGTTTGAAATAGTTAAGAAGATGCTGGTTTGCCTTTTAGGGTGAAGGGGCGGTGAGAAGCACGGGCGCAGCTGAGTCCATGACCAGCCGCGCTGTGGCCCGGCCCTCTTCCTGCACCAGAGGTAAGAGGGGCTGCCGCGGCTTTAAGATAGCAGCACCCGGTTGTGCCGGCCCAGTGCCTTAGAAGGGGTTTTGTTCTGAAGCCTTATCTAAGACAGCTGATGGGTGCGGACAAAGTGGTCTCACCGTGAGAAGCTGTGAGTGATACATGAGATCCCACATCGTTGGGCGAGGAGTGTAGATTGGGAGCGAAGAATTCCAGGTGAAACGTCTGGTTTGTTCAGTTAAGGGAGAAATTTTATGAACCCAGAAATGACTATTTCCCGAAGTGTAGCCTGCACCAGTGGTTCCCATAGTTCTAGGTAGCAGGACCCCTCAGCACCCTTTAAAAAGCCCCAGAGAGCTTCTGTTTATTTGCACAATAGTGATTCGTAGTCACAGTATTCAAAGTTAAAACTGAGAATTTCTTAAAATTACTTCATTATTCTCTTACAAGTAACAATGATAAACCATTACCTCTTAATGTAGCATTTTTTTTTTTTTAAGATTTATTTATTTATTGGAGAGAGGAGGAGAGCGGCAGGGAGAGAGAATCTCAGGCAGACTCCCTGCCAAGCACAGAGCCCAGCACGGGGCTCAATCCGAGGACTCCCAAGACTGACCTGAGCGGAAGTCAAGAGTCAGATGCTCAACTGACTGAGCCGCCCCGGTGTCCCAACATAGCATATTGTTATGAAAAATAGCTTTTCCAAAGTTAGACCGTGGCGAAGAGAGCAGCATTTTTTATGTGTGCAACTCTGCAGCCGGCCCAGGGAGGCCTCGGGGCGTGGTGGTTTCACTGTCGCGCGTTGCGCGGCGTCCTGGAAACCCCACTGGACACTCAGGAGCAGGAGCGCGGGGCGGTGCAGGGCCCATTCCTCCCGTCGGGGAAATGGTTTTGACCTCGGACCCCTGGAAGGCTCTTGAGGGCCTCAGAGCGTACTTAGAGATCTGGCCGGGCTGCCCCAGAGTGATGTATCAGAGTGCGTTCAGTTAATCTGCCATTAACCTTTCTGAGCAGCTTGTCCTAACGAGACATTTTTACAGAATTATCCGTGATGTGTCCACAAGTGTGTGTTCTTTTCGGTTCTCAAGTGTGGTACATGGATGCTTTGGTAGAAACCTTCATATAAAAGGGGACTTGAATGGTGTGTAGTTCTGGCACAAAAGTGTTCCATCTCGTCCACTGGGGGGACACCACTGGCTGCCCAGGGTCGGCCCCGGTCCTCTTCTCTCCGGGCCGCCTGGGGAGAAGCGTGGCTGTACTTGGGCCTGAGGTTAAAAAAGAAGTTACCACTTGTTCTGGTAGCTGAGGACCATGATCTTTGACTTTCGGTGTTACTGGTACACAGCAAGGTTAGTAGGGCCAAAACTTGATCTTTGCCCTATTAATTTTTGTGTGTTTGTCATGTGGACCTAATTGTGGATTGTTACTTTTTAACCAGAACTATGGTTTGTCTACCCACCAGCACCCCCAAATTAAAGAGCCGGTTGCTAGGAAAATCACGCAGCCTGCAAGTTAACTCAGCACGCGTGCTCCCAGAAGAAAGCTTAGCAAATGCTCTAGTTTCCAAGAGAATGTTTTGAGCACCAGTCTGAATTTAATCATGCTCTGAGTAATGACCTCACGTAATGTGTGTTTAGAATTGCTAAGCGGTTTTATTTTACCGTTGGGATGGCTCACGCACTTTGGTTATCTTCGAGCAGAGCTCTCTTGGACACCAATGGGTTATGTTGTTCGGCAGACGCTCTCTGCAGAACCGTCTGCAGCCCCTAAAAACGTTGCTTCCACGGTAAACCTGGAGACGGTCGCTTCGTCAGCAGACCCTCAGAGCGTCAGTATGTCACGTCCTGAAGTTTTATCTTCGGATCCTTCCTGCAGAGAGAAACACGTCCACTCCGCTAAGAAGGTATGTGTCGTGTTGGCTTACGTTGGTCTTCTGTGCCCCCGGCTACAGATTTTTTTCTCCGATCCTAACAGTGTTGCATTCTGTGCTGTAGTCGCTAATGTGAGTCGGTTGTACTCGTGTCTTGAAGAAAGCAGACCCTCCGTCAGGGAACACAAGTGGTAGCTTTCCGAGTAAGGGGCGGCGTTGCTTTTCCACCCGTGCTCTTAAAGCACCTGTGACCCCGTTCTGGAGTCTTCAAAGGAGGGATGCTGCAGAGCTTCACACCGGCCTGTGGACCCTGCTCTCCGCCCCCTAGTCTTCCATCTGTTGTATTTAAATTGCTTTTACTTACTAGGGTGAGGCCAGCAAGACAGCTGAATTCCACCTCTTGTGGTCGCCTGGTGTAGGATACGGATTTCTGGTTGACGGAGCTGTAGTAAGAGCGCATCGCAGAATCCTTTTTCCATTTCAGTTCAGACGTTAAGCTGCCATTTTCATCGGTCGCTGGATTTATTTCTCCACGAGCCTTTCTTGTCTAGATTTTGTTCTTGGTTTTCATCGTGTGTGGGTACATTACTTTAGGTGGGGATGTGGCCGTGTTTGTTGACGTGCAGTGATGCCCTTTCTAAGAGAACAGTTTCTGCTCCCCAGAGTGTCACAGATCACCCCGAACAAACGGGGGCTGTGCTGACGGAGGGGAAGTGGCTGCTGACAGAACGAAGTCAGACCTGGGAGCCTGTCCTCACAGCTTATGAGCAACGTGAAGGACATGGGAGCCGCAGGCGAGACCCTCTCTGAGCACACGTGGAGCCACCAGCTGTGGGCATGTGGGCATAGGTGGCACGGCAGGGCTCAGGCTGGGGCTGCCGCTTGGCTGCCGTCTCGCTGTCTGAACCAGGCTTCCTCATGCACGGTTCAGATTCTCAGAGTTAATATTAATGATTTTGTTTTATTTTCCCATAACCTTTTTTTTTTTTTTTTTTTTTTAAAGATTACATTTAAGAGAGAGCGAGAGCACAAGCAGGGAGAACCAGGCTCCTTGCTGAGCAAGGAGTCCGATGCGGGGCTTGATCCCTGGGCCCTGGGATCATGACCTGAGCTGAAGACAGACTTTTAACCAACTGAGCCACGCAGGCGCCCCTAAAATTGACTTTCTAAATATAAGTGTGAGGAAAGTTTATTTTAGGAAAGTTCTAAGATAAAAATTTAGATCGCCTGTAGTCTTCCAACCCAGGGGTATGGTCTCCTGCGTAATGCGGGTGGTAGGGTCAGGATGGTGTTTCCCTCGGAAACTCTGTGTTGTGAGCTCTTATTACTGGAATAGCAAACGTAAGCCACAAAGAGCGACTTAGGACCGAGGCCGTCTTCCCTTTGTTGCCCGCTCCGTGGAAGCCTGTGTTAACGACAGGATATATATTCTACCTCAGGCTTCTCAGAACATCAGCACAGAGAGCTTTGTTTTTTAAGGTTTGTTTTTTTTTTCTTTTAAACAAAAATGAGACCATATGAGACCATTCTACACTCTCATCTTTCAGAGTTTACCTTTTCACTTCACAAGATGTCAGGGGCAGGTCCTCTAGGTCAGGAGTGAACGTTCTTAGGGACAGTCCCCGCCAGGGATAAAGCAGGGCCCCCGACGAGGAAAGGCCCTGCTCTCTGGTAGACCGGCGTGGCGCAGACTGGTCGCGATGAGTGCTCCGGAAGGCATGGCGGGGGACATGGAGACGGGCCGGCTCTTGAGCTGGAATGACAGCGCAGCCCTGGCCGGGTCCCGGGGTGAGGCCGAGGTGTGTTTGAGCTGACAGAGAGAGGGGGTGGGAGCTGTGGGGTCACATTCAGCAGGTGGGGGAGGGGCGCAGACGTTTTTCTGACTTGAAGGCTCCACAGGGGATGCAGATGTGTGATCGGGTTTAAGGACCACCAGGCTGTTAGGAATGGCCCCGTCCGGGTTTATTTTATTTACTTTATTTTTAAAGGCTTTGTTTATTAAAGAGCACTCAAAAGTGCGCATAAGCAGGGGGAGCACAGAGAGAGAGAGAAGCAGACTCCCCGCTGAGCAGGGAGCCCAATGTGAGACTTGATCCCAGGACGCTGGGATCATGACCTGAGCCGAAGGCAGCCACGGAACCCACCGAGCCACCCAGGCGCTCCCAGCACACCTGGATTTATGCCAAGACTTCGGGTTGGTATTAGAGATGGTCAAATGATCTCTTCCGGCCCAGAAGTAGGTATACCAAGTCTGCCAGTTTCAAAGTAATTGGATAGGACCGCTTTTTCAGCAGATTTCCTTTCCTTGAGAAATACTGTCCTGAGTGCTGGTCTTCGGAAAACAGAGGTGAGGAGCCCAGCTCTGAACAGAGCCGCCTTCTGGCTGAACAACTTGGTATCTCCAGTTTGCTCCGGTTCGTGGAAGGAAACATTCTAGCGAGCGTCTTGTAAACCCATGACTTTGCTGTGTTTTTTCTCTCTAGTCCAGAGCATCCCATGGTGGCGATCCTGACCAGAATGAAGCCTCCAGAAAGCACAAGAAAAAGAAAGAGAAGTCTAAATCAGAGTACGAAGTCCTGACGACGGTTCAGGAGCCGCCAAAGATTGAAGTACGCTTCTCTTTATTACGCTTTCGTGGTCTAAGGAGCGGGCCCGGCCCAGCAGACGTACAGACCGCACGGGCTTCCGGAGCGAGACTCTCCAGAGCCGCCTTCCGTGCTCCTCGCCCTGTGCTAAAGGGAATAGGTGCCCCCCGTGTTCCCCCCTTGGGCGGCCCCGCACGGCGGCAGGGTGCGTGCCCAGTCGAGAGCCGCGTGCCTGCGGGGAGAGCTGGTGCTGCGGGTGCCGTGGTGCTCACGCTGGCTCCTCGGTGTCTTGGTCACCTGTTTCTCCTTGCTTTGGCATGCTGGCGTTTGCAGGGTCTCCTTTTCTATCCAGAAATGTGACTGTAGCGTGCTTCACTCAGGAGGAAAATTAGAATCCCATAACTCCATCGTGGGCCCCGGCCGAGAGAATTCCACAGACCTGCAGAAGCCCTCTGGGCACTGTTCTGCGGTACCACAGGACAGCCCCTGTGCTGCGGGGAGTCGCCCCGGGTGCACACTCCGTGCCAGGCTCAGCCTGACTCCCGGTGCTCGGCGCTGCTGCCTGCCCTCCGGCTTAGGGCCAAACATGAGACTTTCCCACAAACCTGGGGGCTCCCAGAGCTCTTGGCGCACTCCCTTGAGGACACTAGGGTCGCGTGTGAAGACCTGTGATCCTGGCAGAGTGTTAATGATTTGGGCCCACAGATAATTCATGGAGTTCTGCTCCCCTCTCTCACGTCACTTCTCTGAGTCCTGTAAAATGCTAACAAAAGCATCTAAGGTGTTTTTAAATGACTTCACCATTGTCATTAGAGGGCTGTTGCCCTATTTTCTATTTCATTTCTATTTTCTAGTCTGGGAGCAGCGCACGGGACTAGGGCAGCACTCCCGAGACTAGACTGACGGGTAGTCTAATGGAAACGCAGTTGAAGGCTGGGTGCTTGAACACTGTGCCCGGGGGCCCAGGGCCCCCACAGCCTTGGGGCCCCCGCCCACTTGCTCTCTAGGGCAGTGGGATCGGAACTGTGGTCTTTAAATCAGTTTCTAAGAGTAAAACGGTTTGGGGAGGTTTGAGGTCCCCTTGTGAGCTCTGTGGGAGCTGGTGACAGAGAGCCCGGGCAAGGAACAGCTCGCACGTGGGCACACTTGGGTCTCGTGATCTGCAAAGAGCTCAGGGGTTTGTGGTTTACTTAGGATGCCGAGGAGTTCCCCAATCTGGCTGTTGCATCTGAAAGAAGAGAGAGAGTAGCGTCTCCGAGATGTCAGGCCAGAGAGCAGGCACAGGTAAGTTTTAGATTGACGCGGTCTTTGCTTTAGGCTTAACTCTTCCTGCTTAACTAAACTCTTGAGAAAAAAGTATCTTCCAGACTTCTTTATGTGCGAGAAAGGTGGTTTTGTTTTGATTTCTTTCTTCACTGGAGACTCACACGCAGGGTGTCGATGCTCTGAGCGCGCACGTTTTGTCACCGTCGTGAGAAGACTGCGGTACTGCCACTGCTGCATCAGGAGGCGGCACAGACTGCCTGGGGGTCTCCGACGGAGAGTGGGAAAAGTGGGCTGTTTATTTGGGAAACAGGAATTCCGTTGTGAGGTGGCAGAGTCTGACAAAACAAAAAGGAGACCCCCCTCCCCCCCTCGCAAATTTAACCCCGAGCGCTCAGTGCCAGGTGAAGAGGGGGCTCTCCTTGAGCCCCTGCCCCGCGGGGGATTCGCGGATGAACTTGTGATTCGTCATCCGGGTGGAGAACTCGCACACTTGGCCCCATTTCTTCTCGAGTCTCCAGCACTTTCATGTCATTTGGCCTTCTGGAGTGGGGTGGGATTTTCACATTTGTGAGCAGTAAGACTGAACATGGTGCAGATTCCCTGGGATTCCCGTGGTCCAGTTCGGTCCTCTCCTGTCCCTGCCCGCGGAGTCTCCGTAGCCACCTGTGTGGCACGTCGCGCTCGCCTGGTGACGTGGGCCCGCGGCTGGGCAGGAGAGGACGTGCCGAGGGCAGGTGTGCTGCGGCTGCCCGTGTCCTCAGACCCCTTTCAGAGTAGCATGTGTTTCCAGTAGAGCACACTTCGTGCCTAAATTCCACGCCCGCCGCATGCATTTCGGACTTGTGTAAATTCTTGGTCCCAGCCCTCTGATTTCGTGGCATCCGATTGGCTCCCCGAGGCAGTCGGAAGTTGCGTGGTGCCCGTGAGTCAGTTACAGCAATCAGTTGGCCTCACTCACGGACTCCCGTTGCCACAGACTCCGCACGCGTCCTGGTGTCCTACCTGGAGGTGTGCGCCTTTCACCGTGCGGGTGCAGACCGAGACCTGGGGCTGGGAGGGGAGGGGGAAGAAACCACCGCAGTCACCTTGAAAGATGATGTGGGATTATCTGGATTTTTTTTTAATTTTTAGATTTCTAATGGTTGCTATAAATAGGTTTCATTTTATCTTTTATGACTTTTTGTTGTGAAGTGAAAAGCACGGTTTGTAAAATACGCCATCCTAAGAAAACTTCCGACTCTTTGATTCTTTAGAACAATTATAAAAATAGTGGAAAGAAGAGCCAGATTCCAGTGCAGTTGGATTTGGGGGGCATGCTGGCGGCCCTGGAGAAGAAGCAGCACTCTCAGAGCGCAAAGCCGTCCTCCAGACCCGTGGTGTTCTCAGGTAAGTGCAGCTTTCGGTCTCCGAGGGATGGCCGGGCGTCTGGCCGGCAGGCCGCTCCATGCCGGTCTCTGTAGTCAGAAGCGTGTGTGTGGTGGGGTCCGAGCGGCATGGCACTGGGGTAGGGAGAGAGATACTAGTGGGATAGCTTGGGAGTCCAGAAATAAACCGACATAACCATGGCCAGTGAGTTTTTGACCAAAATGTGTTCGTTAAAAGAAGAAGGAACAGTTTTGAAAAACGGTGCTGGGACAGCTGGATTTCCACCTGCTGGAGAAAGCCAGGCTCCCACCTCACCCCGCGTGCGGCGGTTCCCACGGAGCGATGACCCGATTCAAGCACAAGGCCTGCAGAGGCCTTAGAGGAACACGGGGGGGTGCCTGGGCGGCTCAGTCGGTGAAGCGTCCGAGTCTTGGTTTTGGTTCAGGTCGTGATCTCAGCTCGGGCTCGTGCTGGGCGGGGAGTCTGCTCGGGACTCTCTCTCAAAACAAAAAGTAAATTTCACGACCTGTGCTTAGGCAGTGGGTTTTTAGCTAGGACGCCAAAAGCACAGGCCACAAAAGCAAAAATAGATAAACAGGATTACATCAAAAACAAGGATTTTTGCGTAGTAAGGGACATTATCAAAAAAACGAGAAGAATTTACTTACAGAAAGCGAGAAAATGTTTGCAAATCATATACCTGATAAGGATTTGCTGTCCAGAGACCTACGAAATCCTCCTACAGCTCGACATTAAGCACCCACTAAAAACAGGCAGAGGACTTGACGGTGCTCCGCAGGAAGACACTCGCGTGGCCGGTAACACGTGAGAAGCTGCCGGACGCCCTCAGTCTAGACGAGCCGAGCCAGCGCCGCAGGGAGCTGGTTCTTCGTGCCTGCCGTGGTAGCTGTCGTCGGAAATTTGGAGAAACGGGGGAGGGCGAGACCGCTTTGGGAGGCCGTCCGGCAGCTCCTCAGGACGCTGGACCCGGCCCCTCGCAGGCCCCTGCTCACAGCAGCAGCCTCCCGAAGAGCTGAAAAGGAAACAGCCCCTGGTGTTTTCGGCACAAACGGGTCACCAGGGTGCGGCCCGGCCTTCGTGCCGCCTGCCGCGACCTGCATGACTGTGCTCTCGTTCTCCGAGATGAGCCCGCAGCCACGGGCCCGCGCTCCGGGAGAGATCCGGAGTAGATAGTCCCCGAGAGGCCTGCAGGGTTCCTGGGCTGGAGGCTGTGGGGAGCTACTGCTCCGTGGGGACAGACTTGCAGTGTGGGGCCCGGGAGCCGTTGGGGAATAGGAGGGCATGGTGGTCGCACAGCACTGAATGGAGTTGGCGCCCCTGGACCGGGTGCTCAGGGCCGGTTACAGTCCGGATTCTTGCCGGCTCCTTCCTGTGACGGTTTGAGACAGGGCAGGGGAGTGTTGTGCACTCACGTGCTCACGAGCCTAGAGTATGTACCACGTGGCCCCTCAGGGAAGAGCTGGCTGACCCTGACCTGTCCAGCCGCGAGTGTTTGATTTTTTCCGCTGCATTTCAGAGTTGCAGACCTGGGTGGATACCACCGCGCGGTGCTCCGCGTGCGTCTCACCGACCCGAGCGTGCCGTGGACTAGTCTTTGTGGCTCTTCCCGTCTTTGGAGGGGAGCCGTGTATAGTGCGACGCACAGGTCACAGGCCTGTCCTCGCAGGGGAACCCAGGCTCCGTCCCCACCCTTGGACGCTCCCTTAGCCCCGCCCGGCAGGTCCCTGTGCATCCCAGTTCCTCTTTCCCGTTGACGGGCTCCTACTGCCTAGGCTTCCTGTGAGGCTTCCTTCACTCGTCCGGTGTTTTCACATGTACTCCTGCTGTCTGTATGTGTCCGTAGTTCCTTTTGTTTTTTTGGTTTTGCTTATTTAATTTTTAAAAATTTTTTATCTGTTAGAGCGAGCGCGTGCTCAGGAGCAGGGGCAGAGGGGGAAGCAGGCTCCCCGCTGAGCTGGGGGCCGCTGTGGGACTCGGTCCCAGGACCCGGGGATCGTGACCTGAACTGCAGGCAGAGGCTTTGCTGACTGAGTCATCCAGGCACCCCCGTTTTTTGTTTCTCATTCAGGTGAAATTCAGGTCCCATCAGAGGACCTGTCCTGAGGCGGGCCGGTCAGCGGCGTGAGTCCGTCCGCAGTGTCGCGTGGGCTCGTTTTCCTGGTTCCGCGCTTCCGTCCTGCCAGGGGAGCCCACCTGCTAAGCTCCCCGTTTCCCCAGCTCCTGGCGACCCCCGGTGTGCATTTTCTCTGCGGATTTACCTCTTCTGACAGGTGGAAACGGGACGGTGCACCTTGTGACCTTTTGTGTGTGTGTGTTTCCACTTGGCTGAGCGCCTCACACGTTTACCCGTGTTGGCGCGTCCGCGCTGGGCTCGCGCTCGTGGCTGACTCGTACTCCTTGGGCCGCGGTGCGTTTACCCAGTCGTCTTCTGCTGATGGACACGGAGGTTGTCTCCACCTCTGGCCGCTGTGACTGGTGCCTTTGTACCTTTCAGGTGACAGCATTTGAGTCCCCGTGTTTGATTCTCTGGGAGCGCAGCGCTGGGGCGTGCGGTCGGGATCTGTTCACAGACTCGCGGGGCCTGTCTCGGAGCCTGGTGCTGCGCCCAGCAGTACCGCAGAGCCGGCCGGTCCCGCAGCCTCGCCACCATTTGGTCATGTCGACGTCAGTTGTAGCCTTTCTGGGGGATCGGGGTGGCGGTGGCGTATTTTTGAAGCTGAAACGTCGCAGTGCCATGGGTCATACCGTGCGGGCTGCCGGCTGGTACGCAGCGAGCATTTCTACGCGTTCCGTGGCTGCGGCAGAAGGAAGCTCGCGTGGCAGCCCCACGGTGGCGTGGACCGCTGGCCTTGCGCCCGGCCTTCCAGCTCCGCACGCGGGGAACTGAGCCGAAGCACCGCGGGTGGGGCAGCCGTACGAGCGTGGCCCTTGTGCCGCGTCCCCGGGGCCCCGTGGTGGGCCACGGGCAAGTGCGCGGAGCGGTCAGGCTGCGGGCCCATCTCAGACCTGGGTCCCTGGGGATGGGGTCAGGGTTGGGGAAGACATGTTTTTAGCAACGACACGAGAGGATGTTTTGTTTTGTCCTTGTTTCCATCACGGAAACTAACCGAAGGTGGACGGAGTGCAGGGCAGCCTGCCGCGTGGCCGCTCCGTAGGTCCGGCCGTTGTCAGCTCTGTGCCACTCCCGTCACGTCTGTGACCTGACTTTTTGTTTCTCGGGAGTGCTTTTCAGCGACTGGTAGATGTTAATGGCATTTCCTGCGCAGGTACCTCGGTGGGCCCGTCTGACCGACAGTGGCTGCGTGTTGCCCGGACCCCGCGGCCATCCTCTGTCGCTCTTAGGGCGCATTTCTCACCGGCCTCCACTGTCCGGTCTGTATTTGAGTTTCCCTGGTTGTCTCCGTGACGTCGGTCGCTTTATTCCCGGCAGGACCCGCCGCTGGGAGCCCGCGAGTCTGAGTGCCCACGCGCCGGAGCTCGGGACCGCGGCCCTTCTGTGGCCTTGCCTGCACGTTGCTCTTCTCCGCTGCTTTGCGGAAGGCCCGTAGGGGGCCGATCGCGCACGGGGTCGTTTTCAGACCAGTCCAGCTGCCTTGGGGGCGTGGGTGACTCCTGCATTGCCTGTTGGCAGAGGCGGCTTTCCTCGGCAGATAGCAGGGCTCGTTCTGTGTGCTCTGGCGGGGGCGAGGCGGGTGTGGCCACAGGAGACGGAGTCGTGCAGGCCGGGTCCTCCAGGCGGGCGCAGCTGGCGGGTCAGCGCCAGTGCAGGCGGCAGGCCGAGGTCGGGGGGGGTGGGGGGACTGTGTAGGGCTGGTCCGCGTGCTACTTGCACGAGCTCTGGGCTGGAGGCATCCGGCGCTGCCTGGCCCCCGGGCACGGGGGGTCTGGCTCGGGGGGTGGGGGGGGCTGGCTTGCGTGACTGGACCCTCAGGTGACTCTAAGAACCGGCCGGCCCAGGAGGGCCACTGTTCCCTTTGCTGAAAGCTGTGAAGATGTCAAAGCAGCATGGTGAACGGAGAGCGCACGAACCTCGTGCGGGGCCTCGCTCGTGGGTCAGGGCAGGAGTCCCTCAGCCTCCTGTTTCTCAGAGCAGGTCCCTGAGTGCCTGCAGCGGCGTGGAGAAGTCTGGAAGACTTTCAGCCACTCTCCGGTTCTGCGGGGTGCAGCCTCCGGGGAGCCCGCGGGGGGCTGTGGGAGCTGTGGACCGAGCCTTCCAGACCTTCAGCAGAAGGAGAAAGCCGGAAGGCAGAGGAAGGGTCCTGTGAGGGTCCGGGATGGCTCTTTTGGGGCTAGGTTCAAGCTGGACCTTTTAGGTGGGCTTGTGTGTGAAATAGCAGCTGAGCAGAGGCGGGAGCCCTCCGTCAGATCAGAGTTGTTTTAAAGAAGCATCTTCTGGTTTGGTTTACAGACCCCACTGAGGTGGAGGAGAAATAGAAACTTTAAAATTGGCCAGTCAGGGGTGCCTGGCGGGGGGCTCAGTGGGTTAAAGCCTCTGCCTTCGGCTCAGGTCATGATCTCAGGGTCCTGGGATCGAGCCCCGCATCGGGCTCCCTGCTCAGTGGGGAGTCTGTTTCCTCCTCTCTCTCTCTCTCCGCCTGCCTCTCAGCCTGCCTGTGATCTCTGTCAAATAAATAAATAAAATATTAATTAAAAAACTCTAAAAAATTGTCCAGTCAGAAACTAAGAAGATAATTCTAATTACATGTGACTAAAAATACATAATACAGATGGTCATATCATTCTAAAATATTTTTAAGAGGCAAGTTTTATATTTTCCAGTTCAGGTCACCTTTTTTTTTTTTTTGTAATTGTGTTACGTTAGTTACTGTACAGTACATCATTAGTTTCTGATGTGTTCCGTGTTTCCTTGTGTGCATAGAACACCCAGTGCTCCATGAATCCTTGCCCTCCTTAATACCCACTGCCAAGCCAAGCCATCCCCCCACCCCCGCCCCTCCAAAACCCTTAGGTTGTTTACTGGAGGTCATAGTTTCTCGTGG